AGGAAGATGATCCAATGCTTTACCAGATTCTCCAAAGGAAATGGAACCCCCCAAAGGTTAAGAATCATTGCTCCTTACAGTTTACAAATTTCTTTCTGTTCTTACGTTGTCAGCTTCAGAAAAGAGCCTGCTTATATAAAATTAAGCAGTATTAAACCTAAATCCATTCTAAATCTCACGTTTCCTAAATAACCTTACATGTGTGTAACAAATTCACAACTACAAAACACTTCAAGTATTCCAAAACTTCTTGGAGTCTACAAACCTTTCCCAGAGCTGCAATTAACGGATAATGAGAAACAAGCAACACAGCAGAATCACTAAGAAAAGGTAAGCAAACTTCAGCCAACTCTAGAACAATCAGTACGTACAACAAACGTTAAGACAGTATAAGGACGAGGCTCTAACTGTCGACTAAATACAGTTGCCTACAAAGACAACCCGATTTCAGTTTCCTGTGGTTAGAAAAGACAGTTTAGGAAGAAGGATTTCTCTCAGAGACCATCACTGCAACTTCAGAAAGATATAGGTAAAATTAGTTCCTTGAGCTTCTGGAAGAGGTTATAACGCTCATAAGCCCAGACAATATTTTTATTCATTTTACACCTGCCCCATAATCTGACCTCTTATTATAGTAGATTACTAGCAAAAACACACAACACTTAATAAGACTTCCTTCGAGGTGTATAGGCTGCAACTGGCGAGTACTGCCCTTAAAATAATCCAATTCTGGCTAAATGACAGTAGCCTTCAGATAAAACCTACGAATCTTTAAATCCGGCAACGGTTCAATTATTAACAAAAAGTCCTAACCAAACTGAAGTCAACCAAAGAAATCCTGAGGTTTGTTTCCTTCCCTCGCCCTTGGGGACCGCACCTCTTTGTGCACAAGGGTCTGAAGGTCTCCTAACCTCAGACCTCACTTATGGACCCCGGCAGGACACCCTGTCGCAAGCCTTAGGGGCGCTCTTGCTCAGCAGTGGAAACGTCGGCGGATGCGGACAGGCGCGATCTACGAAGAAACCGTGACGCCAGGCGTCCCGCCGGGCCCGAAACGCAGACCGACCGGGCCGCAGTCTGGCGGGGACTACCGGAGATCGACGCCGGGATCCTAGCTTTGGCCCGGGCTCTCCCTGAAGGCCAGAGGCCCGGCAAAGAGGACAGGAGGGGATGAAGCGGACACACCTGGCGGGGACCCTCGGCGACCGGTTCCAACGTTAGCTCGGCGCCCGTCGGACTCTCCCAGCATTCGCCG